TGTTGAAACTGATCAGTTTCAGCAGCGGCTGAATCTGGATGCCAGTTCCAACTTACATACAGATTCAACTTAAGAACAAACCTACAGTCCCTATCTTGTACGTAACCCGGGGACTGCCTGTAGTTATTATTTATGTCTTTTTACACATACGTATTTGTTTCATTTCTCACTGTTAGTGCATTACTAAGGTATCACCTACAACAGTTTTCAAAATGCGCTAAGAGTTACTAATTGGTAAAATTCCATTCTCTAATCTTAGCTCCATCTTAACTGTAAAACAACATCAGAGCCTGCTCCAGGCAAGCCTTAGAATCTTTCTTGACCTGTATTTAAATATTGTCACCCTTGATACTCAGTTACCAATTTTATATGGTACTCAGTGTTATTTTCTGAGCCATCAACTTGAACAAAAAAATTGTGTACAGTTTGACTACATAGAGAAGACTAAATTAGCTCTACAGAAACATATGTCTTCTTCAGGGCTTTTTATGCCAAAGCAACTTGTTCTATAGAAACTTTAAAAAGCCTTGTTAGGGTAGATATATTTCATTTGCAAGAAGAGTAAACCAGTGCGGAACATAACCCCCCACCCCATTCTGTTTTTGGTATAGTTTTCTGCACATCATCAGTTCTTCTACAATTGCTTAATATGGATATAAAAGACAGATTTAAACTAAACATGGAAAAATGCATGCACCCTTTTATCACTGAAGAGAAGAAATTACTAAAATATGGTGTATAATCAATAAAATTAAATTGTGTATCACGTTATGAACCATTGGTGTGTGGGCAGAGGAATAAACAAGAATTCCTCCGTCTTACATGATTGCCCAGACTCTCTGTGATGTGAGGCAAACATATAAAATCTGGATACAGCAGAGCTAACAGACTCCATGGGCTCCTGGGTAAGGTAAGGCAGGGAGCATCTCTGTGCTTCTGGAAGAGGTGGGGTGGAAGGCTGCTGATCCACAGCACTGCCTGGAGCATGGCACAGCCCTCCCCAGCTCTTAGTTCTTTAAAGTGCCTAGGGTTCTGGCTGTTGCCACTACTACATTGGCAGCAGCCATGGCTGGAGCCCCAGACTTCTTTGAATCACCAAGCCCCAAGGCAACACCTTGCTTTGTACCCCCTGCCAGCAGGCCTGCCTGGATAAAATATTATTAAAATATGCATACTATTAATATAGAGATTCATAAATAAGAGCTAATTCCAATCATAACTTTCTGCCTAGACCTAAAAAACTATACTGAATCTCTCATGTACCTAAGTCAAATTTGATTGTAATAAGGGCTAGTTGTAGCAAGATCTGCAAATCCAAAGTAAAGTTATTTAAACCAAAACGTGTAGTAATGAATGACTAGCACATGACCTGAA